AAGGATCACTAAAGGAAATTTTTGTTTTCCGCTGCGTTTAGATCGCAATTTTCCTTCATATTGTTGTCATGTATGCAGAGTATAATGTAGTCTTAAAAGTGTAGTTATGATAGTGTAGACTTGCTAGGGTAATAACGTAGGCATGTGAATACTACCACTACTAATGCATGTTGAAACATGATCACTATGGTGCAGGGAAGCGTGTAAGTGTAGTCTTGTCGTGCATGTGAAGTCATTGCATGTGAAATATAACTTTTACTAGAGTGTAGTGTTGTCAAGCATGCAAAGTAAATTGTAGTCTTAAAAGTGAAGTCATTGCATGTAAAATATAATTTCTGCTAAGGTATTAATGCATGCTGAATTTTTATGACAACGGTGAAGGGAAGCGTGCAAGTGTAATCTTGTCTTACAAGATTCTTGGTCATTGTTATGCAGAAAATCTTACAATCATTGATTAATAGAGTGAAGTCTTGTATTGCATGTTTAATATAATTTTGGCTAGAGTGTAATAGTGTCATGCATGCAGAGTATAATGTAGTCTTAAAGATATGATCACATATTACAAATTCTTGTGTTGAGTTTTGTAAATAACTATCAAATATATGATCACATATTTATCTGTTCATTTAATTTTGTAACTTATTAGTGTAGGCATGTGCACTATAATATCCTGCAAGACTAATAATGTATGCATGTGTTCTATAATATCTTGCAAGACTAATAGTGTAGGCATGCAGAGTGTAGTCTAGTCGTGCAGAAAATCTTGTAGGCATGCAAAGTGTAGTCTTGTCGTGCAGAGAATCCTTTAGTAAGAAAGTGTGTAAAACTATATCCTGCAAGACTAATAAGTGATAATTACTAAAATAATAAAATCAGGACAAGACATGTGATGAGATAAGACAATTGCATGGAATACGAAGTACAATGATAATTAGTAAAAAACAACACTAGTACCTAACTACATTGCTATTAATACAATGGAGATAGTTGTTTTATTAGCATATCATTTAGTAACATATCCCTCCAAACACAAAAATTTATAAAACAATCCTTTCAAACAAGAGTTTAGTAACGTAATTGTTATGGCTTAAACACCACAATACATGATCAGTGCACATTTAAACGGTGAGGTTTTTGAATGTAACTCAATCGGTTTCAATTTTCGAAATACGGACGTTACTAGGTTTTTGATTGATAAAAGATCAAATTTTTTACATTTGAAAGCGAGATTAGAAAAGAAATTACAGCATGGTCCAGTTGGCCAAATAATCTACAAGAATCTTGTGTTTTTTGGCGGGCACGAGCAATGCAACTTTTTTCAGTTAAAGATTCGAGACGATGAAGATGTGCGTAACATGTTTCTCAGTCATGAGTATTCTGATTTCTCAGATATTGAGCTATATATTACGTTACAACAACAACTGTCTCAACAACTTGATTCTTCTTAAGTATTTTACGAATCTAATGACAAACAAGCTGAAGTCGATGCCATTGACAAAGAAGAAGAAGCAGCTGGAGTCATTGTTGATGATTTGGTAAACAACAAGGAAGACGTAGTACCAGTCAATCATGTTTATTGCCCACCTCAATACATGAAAAGTCTCAAGTTAGGTGATGGTGAACCATCAACAGATATTTTTTATAATTCATACTTGCCAATAGAAGAAGTATTAAAAGAGGGAGACAACTTTCGTACAAAAGAAGATTGTGTCTGAGGAATAAAAAAAATATCACATGTACTTCTCAGCAGATTATAGAGTCGATAGAACAAATATGACTCTGTATAAAATCTATTACCGTAACAAGGTGTACCCATTTCGATTAACAATGTCTTTCCATAAGAGAAGTGATTCATGAAAGATATGGTCAATGGGTCCAGAGCACACTTGTATAATCACGAATCCAATGCAAGAAGATCGCAAGCTCAACTCTCAATTGATTTGCGATGAAATTCTGTTGGTCATTAGCGACAACCCTTCATTGAAGGTGAGTACCATAATTTTGCATATGGTTCGAAGATATAATTACACTCATTCGTACATGAAAGTATGGATAGCTAGGATTAAGGCGGTTGAAACAGTGTTCGGAAATTGGGAGGAGTCTTACAAAGAACTTCCAAAATACTTGGTGGCACTTAAATAATATTCTCCAGGGACTGTTGTCATCTTGGAGACATTGCCGACGTATACACCAGACAGGACTTGCGTTAGTGGAAATGACATTTTTCACAGACTCTTTTGGGCGTTTGAACCATGTATCAAAGGCTTTGCTTACTGTAAACCTATTTTTCAAGTTGATGGCACATGGTTGTACGAGAAATATAAGGGCACACTACTCATGGCTGTGACACAAGATGAGAACAACAATATTTTTCCAATAGCCTTCTCTCTAGTTGAAAGGGAGACTGCTGAGGGTTGGAGTTTTTTCCTAAAAAGTTTCCGGTTATACGTTTCTCCCCAACCTAACTTATGTTTGATCTCTGATAGACACCTATCAATCAAGAGTGCATATAAGAATCTTGATAACGGTTGGCAGGATCCTCCCACGAACCATGTGTATTGCATAAGACACATCTCCCAATATTTCATGCAGGAAATCAAAGACAAAACGCTCAGGAAGAAGGTTGTGAACGTAGGGTATGCACTAACAGAGCCCACATCAAAGACAAAACGCTCAGGAAGAAGGTTGTGAACGTAGGGTATGCACTAACAGAGCCCACATTCAAATACTATCGTGACGAGATCAGACTGACAAACACAGATGCATTAAGATGGATTGATAATATTCATAAAGAGAAATGGACAAGGGCATACAAAAATGGGGTGCGATGGGGCCACATGACAACTAACCTCGTTGAATAAATGAATTATGTTTTCAAGGGAATTCGAAACCTACCAATAACTGCCTTGGTAAAGGAAATATATTTTAGGCTCGGGGAACTCTTTGATAACAGACGTATAAAGTGGGGTTCAATATTACAATCCGGGCAGCTGTAATAGTTCAATAAAAATCATGAAAGAAGAAGCTGCCAAAGCCAACATACATGTAGTCACAATCTTTGACCGTAATAAAGGTTGGTTCAGTGTTGTAGAGTTAATTAATCACAATGAAGGGAGGCTTAGGGGATGTTACCGAGTGGAACTGGATAGGAGTTGGTGTGACTGTGGAAAGTTTCAGACATTTCGTATGCCTTGCTCCCATGTTATAGCAACATGTTCGAAGGCTCGCCAGGACCCAATCAACTATCTTTCTACTGTTCACCAAGTCATAACTCTATGCAATGTCTATGACAGTAGCTTTCAGGTGATAGCAAAGGAGGACTATTGACCTCCATACGAAGGCGAAATTGTCTGGCATAATGATTTGACGCGAAAAAGGAAAAAGGGTCGCCCTGATAGCACGCGTATTCAAACGAAAATGAATACAACAAAAAAATGATCAGATTATGTAGTTCGTGTCGGCAACCAGGGCACAATCGTACAAAATGTCCCAATGTAGAATCAAGCACATGATCATAGTTTCTAATGTAATAGTGTCTCTTTAAATCAACAACAAATTTCATTCCATTGATAGCATACCTAAACGGTTACAATTAACAACAACGTAAATTAAACAAACATAATTTAACATAAAAATAACAATCCGAAAATTACAACAACATAGCTTAATATCAAAATAACAATCTAAAAATAATAACCACAAACCCACATAAAACAACTCAATGCATCAACTTGTCTAGGATATTACAACCATCAAGGTAATCTTCTTTGGTGTTAACATCATCATAAAAACACCAACATCATTTTCCACTTTTCTCCAATCACGAGTAACTCTGTTTCTCCCTAACTCCTCAACTAACCTCTCAATTTTCCCGATCTTTTCACCTACAACAATATCTCCTTCTAGTCAGCGGTTCAGTTTCCTATGCAAATGCTTCAAAGTCTACGTATTCCACAATAGGACCTTCATCATAGGCTTTGTTGCTGAAAAATAAATGAGGGCATTTCTTTTCATTAGAGGAAATGTTGGAAGTGGTCCATTTGATGATGATGACGGCGACGATGAACGTTGATTTAAAAATGCAGACATTCTGGACTGATTTGAAAATTATGAAGAGTTGAGACTATTGGTGATAAATTGATAATTGTTGTGAAATAACAGATGAATGTGCAGTCTTATTTATAGAAAAATGAAATAGTACGGTCCCCATATGATATGGTGTAACTACCCTTAAAAACACAAAACAAATGATTAAAAAAAAAGGGATTGTACTGAGGCGCCATACCATATGGCGCCTCTTTTGGAATTAGGGTTAGCTCATTAAAGGTGGCGCCATACCATATGACGACTTGGTTTTAAGGCATAAGGAAGACGCTATATGGGATGACGACTTGGTCTTTCCCTTTACCCATTAGTCATTTCATATGACGTCTCAATGTTGAATTATGATCACTTTAAATTTATTTTTAAATTCCTTATTAAAATAGTATTTTTTTTTTTAAAAAGTAGTTATTGAAAAAAAAATTCGTATATATATATATATATATATATATATATATATATATATATATATGTATGTATGTATGTATGCATGCATGCAGACACTAATATTTTACTGATTTATCGTTAAATCTTTAGAACTATTCTAAAGAATAAAATAGGCATATGATATTTTATTAATGATTACTACTTCTAGTTCTAGGTGTTAGCTTTACGGCTTTTCCTCAATACATATGGCAAACCAAAACAAATAATTTACATTATTCTAATTAATTAACTAAAATTATTGAATAATTTTATGATTAGAGCGTGGAATTAGGGAGCAGGCGATTCTCTCCCATTCCTGGATTTCTGGTTAGTTAGAACATCTCTTTTCTCCCTATATCCCCTTTATTCAAAATTCTTAACAATTTTTTTCCCAAAATCCTTTCCTCTGTATTTTGGTTTCTGGTAGAATTTCGTTTCTTGATTTCGGTTTCAGCTTCAGCTTTGTTTGGATCATGGGGACTCCACAATTCCCAGATCTAGGCAAGCATTGTACAGTTCCCGATTGCAGACTCATCGATTTCTTACCCTTCACTTGCGATCGGTGTAATCAGGTTTTTCTCATTGTTGTCTGTTTGTCTGTTATTTCTGTATAATATATATTGTTTTTTTTATTTTTAAATTTGAGTATTTGGAATTGATCAATTCCGCAGGTATATTGTTTGGAGCACCGAAGTTATATCCAACATCATTGTACAAAACCGAACAAACAAGATGTCACTGTGGTTATATGTCCACTTTGTGCCAAAAGTGTTCGTTTAATTCCAGACCAAGATGCAAACATATTATGGGAACATCATGTCAACACAGATTGTGACCCATCAAATTACGAAAAAGTCACAAAAAAGAAAAAGTGCCCTACCCAAGGATGCAGGGAGACACTAGTTTTCTCAAACACTATCAAGTGCAGAGACTGTGAGGTAGAACATTGTTTGAAGCACAGGTTTGGACCTGATCATAAATGTCCAGGACCCAAAAAATTGGAAACTAGTTTTTCATTTATGAGTCTTCTGAATTTGAGTAGTGGAAGTAGTAGTAAAGAAGAATCGAAATCCAATTGGACTTCAAGCCTTCTTGAGTTGGCTTCTAAATTGAGTGGAAAAAATCAAGACGAGAAATGTCCACTTTGTGATGCAAAGTTTTCGTCAGTTACTAGTTTGGTAGATCATGCAAAAAAAGTCCATGAAGGAAGTAGCATTAAGCGAAATGGGGTGAAGAAGGTGTCGATTTCTGCATGTCCTAAGTGTAGTAAAGGTTTTCTTGATCCAAACTCTCTTGTGGAGCATGTTGAGAGAGATCATGGTGGTAGTTCTTGAGTATATATAGATTTCAAATTGTTGATGAAATAGCTAGTAGCACTTTCTGATCTAGTTTGTAAACATTAATTTACCCTATTTGATTGAAAAAACTTGTGTGAATAAGAATTTGATGATGGTATTAGATTATAATTTGGTCATGTGTCTGAAAAAATCTCCTGCACTAGGCACTAATTCACACATATATGGATTGATTCTTTTTTACCTTTGACCTATTTTTGTAGGAAAACAAGTTTATTTATCGTATCATTATAAATACTATAAGCAATACAAATAGGTATTACATCATAAATCTGAAGACTATCCATATTTTTAATCACTCATACTAATTTATGGGTTCATATATTAACTTGCCTCTTAAAAAATTCTACCAAAAGGTTTGGACAAATAAAATTTTCAGATTATGTAAATATAACATGTTTATTGGTAGTATTGATTGTAAATGATTAACACATCATGAGCACGGCCTAAGTTTCTCAATTAGATTTGGTCTGATTCAAACCCTAAAAAATTTCCAGAGCTGCAACCTTTCTTTCTTTCTCCTTCTCTACTATTTCATTGCCGCATCACTCCTTCTATGCCCTTTCATAGATGCCTTTATCTCATCATGACCATCATTGATTCTTTCAACAACAACTCTTCCTCAATTTATAGCGGTCATATAGACCCTCCTTCTCTGCCACCCACTCCTACACTGATTCACCAGACTCTCGTATCAAATATTTGAAATTTCTTTAAAATCATTATGAGCATTGAAAAAGACACGTATAACACATGGTCAAAATTCTTCAAAATTCATGCAAAGGCGTTTCAAGTGATTGATCACATAATTTCCTTTACGGAACCAACCATAACTTCCTCTCTCAAAACTACAAACCAATAATTATGGATTCGTATTGACGTTGTAGTCTTATAGTGGATATATGGAACAATATATCGTTAACTTTTCAACACTATCATCGAACACGTTTATGTGAAACTATCCGATTGCAGATTAATCAGGAATTGATCAAACATAAGTAAAACATGCCAAGACCTTTTTTATTTTATTTTATCAAATGCATAGAAGACCTTAAACATCATTATTTTGAAGTATAAGATGAAACATGACTTTCATCGCAACTCATCAAGAAGCAACATATCTTTGATGACAAAAATATATAAAGACAAACAAGTCCTAAAGCTATTTTAGGCGGCCAAAGATGCACGACATGGTTGGTCAAACTACTTTATCGAATAAAGTAGAATATTTAAGGTTTAATGATCAATGTGATATCTCCTGATGAAAATTAAGTGAAGTGCTTATATGATTCGTGTATCCGACAAAAGACTTAAAGCTTCAAAATATGAAAAAGAACAAGTGTGAAAGTTCGCATGATCGTGTCTGAGTGATTAGCGTTTTACAAAAACATAAGGGAAATTTCATAAAGAAATACGGATAAATCTTACACTCACAAAAAATTTCTTTTTTTAGTCTCAATTCTCAAACAAAATTAGCTAAAATTGCTTTGGAGCCTAGATAGACGAATTAGGAACTCTCAGATGGATAAAGGAAAATTTTATAATTGTCTTATCGATTAAACCATGTACCTAATCAATTAGATAAGAAAAAAATGCTTAAAATAAATCGTAACAATGTCTTAATGAAGGGTAATGGTTCTCTCTATCAAAACCTTTAAAATTAGGCACAAATAATTGATTATTTATGTCATCTAATCGATTAGATTAAATACCTAATCGGTTAGGTAATTAAGTTTTTTCATGGATTATTTCCTTTCTTCCTTAGAAAGTTTTTATTTGGTTTTGAAGCTAAACTCGTTAAAAGCTTTGTTTGGAGGATTTAGTGTTAAGTTTCTATTTGCTTTATGAGTTCATCCACTTAAGGAAAAACTCTCCTTCTGCGTAAAAGCTTCTTATTAGTTCTTGAGCTCAGTCCGGTGTAAAAGCTCAAATAGTTCGAGATCAGCGTGGTGTAAAATTTCAGTTCGGTTCAAAACTCCACCATGTTTTGAGATAAGTCTGTACAAAAACTCTGTTTGGCTTAGAATCTAACCACTCAAATATTTCTTTGTGTTTGTCTTGAAGACTAACCGCTTCATTCCATTGTTCATGCTTTAATTGGAAGTAAATCTGAAATTTCATTTTTCCTTATATAAAGGGGTTCATTGCTTAACCTTCTAAATGATCATAAGCATTATTGGAAACTCTCAAAATCAATTCTTGAGAAGAAAAAACCTATATTAATCTCTTATGTCATCTATTTTTCCTTAACTCTTTACTTTATGCATATTTCTTTACTCTAATTTTCTGCTGCTTATTCAAATGTTCTCTAAAAAATGGTTTTACACTTTGATTCTAAAAATAATTTTGTTTTAAACTATCATTCAAACCCACACATTTCACCTTCTCTTATGTGTAAAGTCATATGTCTTAGAAGCCATAATGTAGGCTTTGTAAGGAATTAACTTCTCATGCTTGGTCTCCCATTCACCCTTCACTTGATAAATAACTAAAGCTGAATCTCCACTTACTTCGAGAAGTTTGATTATGAGGTGAATAACTGCTTCAAGGCCAAGAATACATGCTTCATATTCGGCGACATTGTTCGTGCAATCAAAGTCTAACCTTGCAGTAAATGGGGTATAGCCACCTTTCGGATTCATCAGAACGGCGCCTATGCCATGCCCATTATAGTTAGAGGAACCATCAAACATCATCTTCCACCAGAGACCTGGTTCAGGACCTTCATCAGGACCTGGCTCTTCGCAATCTATCTTGATCAACATGAGGTCTTCGTTAGGAAATTCGAACTTGAGAGGCTCGTAGTCTTCAACTGGCTGATCTGCAAGATAATCGGATAAGATACTTCCTTTGATAACTTTTTGAGGTACGTACTGGATGTCATATTCTGATAACAACATGTGCCAGCTGTAACACCCTTCTAACCCCACATGAAAATACATAAATAATCAGAGTAAATTAACATGCTTTCACAAAAGGGCGTCACACATAATTTCAAAACATCAAAACCACCTGTCATGCTTTAAACACTCAAATAAAATAATCATGCTTTTCAAAATTCACTTTGCATGTAGCAGCGAATTCAATTTATATTCATAATTCTTTTCACATAACATTCATGTTCATCTCATAATTCAACAATACTTGGGCACTAAGGCCAACATCACAATATTTCGATACATTTAAAACACAACTTAAAATACATAAAATATCTCTAAAGCAAAAACCCAAACAATCCCAGTGTTACATAACCAGAGCATGACTCGACCCAACATAATTAAAATACTAAACGACTGCACCAGCAGAGACCTCACAACTATTAGCAGTACAACTCCAAGATACCTGCACGATGTCATAAAGGACATCATTCCAACAGAAGGGTGAGAAATATTACCATAATAATCAAAGCACATAATCATATATAAATGCGCAAGTACATAATACATACATTTCACATTTTCTCACCACAATGCATATTAACACAATAACCATGCACATAATATATATATCCATAGCATCAAATACACATATTATACTCCTCACCACAATACCTCACATACCCACTAACATACATCGCAAAGCATATATGTATAAAACCAAGCATTTAATCATGCATACATTCGCAATTACAATTAATCCTCACAAACATACACGTTATGTTTCATTCATCACGAATCATATAACATACGCCATCATGTTTAATCATCAATTCATTATTCAATATCTTTCTCAATTACTCAATCGCAACCCACAATTCAACAATTCATACTCACATGCATATTTCATATAACACTCATAACCATGCCATGTGACTCACTTAAAACTCACCCAATATCACCAATCCCCTTTTTAGGATTATGGGTACGTCACTTATACCCTACCAGGAATAACACCTCAGTTATTCTACCCCGGTAATTACTCCACTAGGAACGACACATTGCCATTCTACCCCAGTGAGTACAAATATTTCACATAAGCATTATTATCTATATTACTCTCATATTTACCAATCATTACCTATATACATGTACTATTATATTCTCAGGCATTATTCACAATTCATCACATACATTACACTGCATGTATATATATATACAGAACTAAGCATACTCATCAATCATGCTTCTACAATTCACATCATTTTCACACAAACATTTATAATTATATTTATTCATACATCTCAATCATTCCATACATCGCAATGTATCCATATAAGTATCTATATATAAATAGAACATCAAGCATATACAATATGCATTCACCAATGTTTACATCAACCCATGTAAACCCATATATATATACATATCTTCAAGCATACTCACTCATGCCATTATCGCAATTCGTGTTAGTTCACATAAACATACACAATATATATATACATATCTTCAAGCATACTCACTCATGCCATTATCGCAATTAGTTCACAAACCGTCGGGCCTACGATGTTCACCCATTTCTCACACCCCACATGGGCACACAATGTTTATGGATTGCTCACACCCCACATGGGCACACAATCCGATTGCTCACACCCCACAAGGGCACACAATCGTTCTGCAGATTCTACGCGGAATCAAATATAGACCATCACTCACACCCCACATGGGCACACGATGTCTCTGTAGATCCTACACGGGATCAAATATAACCATCGCTCACACCCCACATGGGCACACGAGATTTCTGCAGATCCTACGCGGGATCAATCAACACAAAATGCATATATGTTTACAAACATACTCATGCATCTATCATATTTCACTGCACACATTTTTTATGCATTCACAATATATATATATATATATATATATATATATATATATATATATATATATATATATATATATATATATATATATATATATATATATATATATATATATATATATATATATATATATATATATATATATATATATATATATATATATATATATATATATATATATATATATATATATATATATATATATATATAT